ATTTTCATAGAATTTTTATTTATTGTTACTTTTGTCAGATTCAACTCATTTTTGTGACCGTTGTGGGTTTTTCTTTCTTTAACCGAGGGGTACCAACAATTTTGGCAACGTGTGTATAAGACTGCCATTTCCATTGCACATTTCGCTCAGCGTTCTCCTCCCCTCCTGCTATCTATTTTCCAAAACCCGTTCACTACCGATAATGACAACAACAGCAATCTCTGATTAGCAACCTACATACTGAAAATGTCAAGTTTTGCAATGGGTTTGGATCATGCCATAGCGCAGGCCTGCTTTTTAAACATTAGCTATTTTATTGACGATGCTTACCTCCTCGCATGTAAATGTTCCACCAAAACAATGCCCTGTTTTGCAGGGACATCAGTGCTGCATCATTCCCTAAGCACTGCACCAGATGATTGTGATTTGTTTTAAGAAGTAATGTCCAGGGTGTTTTTTTCCCTCTTTTATAGCAGAAAGATAATGAGGTTCAGTCAGACCATTCTCCAGTGGTACCACAGTGATGTAGAAATGGGTCTGGCCATGCAGTACTGTGTAAGAGATCGTCCCTGACAAGATGTACCTTGTATGATTGAAATGAATGGGTTTTTTTTGTCCCCATGGAATTCATTACAGTCCTAAAATGCACTAGCTTAGAGGGTACTATCCTGCCTATTCTATGCCCACTTGCCAACAAAGTGCTTTATGTAATCAAAATGAAAAGTTGCTCATTGTTATATGCATGTATAACAAATTTAGTCTCACTTTCCTGTTTGAAACCTCATAAAATATATTTCCAGAACCTCAGAATTTCTGTTTGCCTTTCAAGCAACGTCCAGCTTAAGAGGAAGGAGTTTCCACGGCTCGGCCAAGAGTTTGACATCAGTGACAAATTTTGACAGTGGGAAAAAGAAATTTCACTGATTGTCAATCTGAAAAACAGGGAGCAGCATTGTGTTCTTCATCATAATATTATTAAAAATGTAACTTCAGAAGCGATGAGGTTACTGGTTTTGTTATGGAGACTTCTTCTGGGCTTCTCATGGAAGGCCTCCTCTTTTTCCTAGTCTTAGTTTACTCAAATATGATACGCATCTTACATCTCATTTGCATGGTTCTCTCTGTGAATCTGTTCACTGTGTCCTTTGTTTTGCCTGTTGTATAGCTAAGGCTCAACTTGTGCTGTCTTTGCCTACAGTTTGTTACAGGCACACTCCTTTAGAAACACCTATGTCATGATGTTTGACTAAACTGTGGGGATAGAAAAAGTAAGCCCTCTGAATCCAGAATTTTCAGTGGCTTTGGTTTAATGCCAAGTAAGTTTACCCACATTTACAGTACTGGTATGGCTTGATGTTGCTGGGCAAAGCAATTTAAACGTTATTTTGATTCTTTCTGACCTTGAGACTGTTTTCTCAGTTAATATGGCAATGATGGCTCGTCTCTGATATCCATTAATTGGTTTATAGGCATTCCTAACATAAATACAGTATAGTGCAGAAATTCTAGATTGGCAATTCATAGATTTAGCTGTGCTAAATATAGTTTTGATAATACATTGCTTGTTTAAGTCATTTATGAAGCAAACTGCCAAACATTTCCTCTTTCCAACTTTCCAAAAATGAGTAGTTTTCTCTGTTTTGTACCATTGAAAGTAAAAAATATCTTGGTTGGTCTGTCAAAACAAGGAGTCTGAAAATGTTAGCTTGGGCTGTGTAAAACTGTGTGTGTAATATTTTTGTGACTCAAGAAAGAATCATTAAAAAAAAAGATAAAATTGCTAACATTGCACATTAGTGTGGCTGAATCAAAGATGTAAAAATCCAAACAAGGTAACTGCTGCCTGTTCTTCACATAGTAACTCCAGGCTTCACGATAATGTTTCCATGCTAAAGATTTACAGTTTGTTTACTGTGCAAGTCGTTGTATTAAAATGTCCTTTTGTACTCTTTCAGGATAAAGAAACAAACAAAATGGCATCGGACTCTCCGCGCAGACCGAGCCGCTGTGCTGGAGGGGTTTTGGTGCGAGCACAAGCTGCTACGTAAGGACAGCTCTCTTATTATTATTTTATTAGAAATCACTTAACTCATGATACCATATGTACTTTGTATCTGCGACTAGAGATCTGTACTGTATGTCCATGTCCCTGAACACCAAGAATAAGAAACATTCTGTTTGATGGAAGCAGGTATTTGGATAACTCCTGTCATCTGTGAAGTCACTCCTTAAATCATATCCCTTAGTTTTAAGTCTTATGAAATATTCTCACATTTATTTTACTCATGTAAAACCTCTTCATGTAGATTTTTAATATTACAGTGCATGCACTTAGTGCATTCTGTACATTTGGAATGACACACTTTTTTTTTTCCTCTCATAGGGAGCAGTCTTACATGGAGAGTGTTGTGACCTTCCTGCAGGATGTGGTCCCCCAGGTAACTATCCTCTACTGGCACACTGCTGATTTTAGTTTCTATTGCAGATTTTGACTGTTTTGTGTGCACGCTATTTAAAGTAATTAAATTAGTCAAAATAGTCTGCGCTATACAAAAAAAAATATTTTTTTTATGGTCAATGGACACTTTGCTCCCTTTGTTTGTAGCACACCAAAAAAGTGAAGGACCTGTTTACTGGAAAATACATAAATTAGACACATTTCATAAGTATATAGTTTTTATTTTGTCTCTTGAAGTTCTTGCAGCTTTCAGTCCGTTCCAAAGTCCTGGTAATTTGTAATATGCACGAGAGTTTTCTAATATTCTACAAACTGAGAATAGTTGATGCAGCAAGAGTTCTCCAATCAGTTCCAAGTCAACTGCAAGTCATGGCTAAAACCAAAAAGTTTAGTGACACATTGTGGATGCTCACAAGACGGGAAAACACTAAAAAGCCATATCCAAGTATATTCAAGTGTCAGTGGCCACGGTGCAAAGCATCATCAAGAAGTGCAAGGACTCCCATGCTGTGAAAATCTTAAGCAGCATGGTAGGAAGCCAGAAGTGACCCCTGCATTGGCAAGAACGGTTGTGTGAGAGGCCAAGAAGTATCCCAGCATCACCACCAATATCATCCTGATGAATGAGAACAGTTCTGGGACCAACATGTCAAGATAAACATTCGCTCCGTACACACAGACCAAGGAGGACGCCACTTCTCCAAGTCAGGCATGTAGACCTTACCTGGATAAAGAAGAAAGCTTTTGATCATAAGTTCTGTGGTTGGATGACTCTGAGTCAGCCCCAAGGACACCATCCCTACGGTCAGACATGGTGGTAGGATTGTAATGCTTTCGGCATCTGTTTCAGCAAACAGACCAGGCAACCTTGTCACAGTAAATGGCATCCTGAGAAGAAAGGAGCACATTCAGACTCTGGAGGAACACATCAGTCAGTCTACAAGAAACCTTGTCCTTGATCCTTCCTGCAAGACTATAATATGAAACATACAGCCAAAGTGCTGAGCAAATGGTTAACAGAAAACAATATGAACATTTTGAAGCAGAGCCAGAATCCAGACCAGAATCCCATCAAGGATCAGTGGAGGGAAGTCCAGTCCAGGACCAGAGTGATGGAGAGAGGCCTGGAGGTCGTCACAAAGACGAACCTCAAGCCATAATATCGGATATTTTAGCTGTCAGTTATTCTACCAGTTATTTTTCCAGCAGCATTTCCTTGGTTTACGGAGTTTCCTCCACTAAAAAATTCCTCGTACGGGTAAACTGAATGTTACAGATAAATGCTGGAATTTAACATTGTTGATGTGTATTGTTGTTTTGTATATTTTGCCCAATTTTTGTGCTCTTTCAAACCACAGGCGTATACTGGTGCTCCACCCACTGATGAAAAAGAGAAAATCATTTGGGTTCGATTTGAAAAAGCCGATATCAATGGTAAGTCTTTGTTAACGCTTAAGCATTGATAAGCTGCAGTCATCCTCTGTGAATACAGTCATCTATGTTTAAAACCCTTTTGAAAACTCCACTATGTCAAATACGATTAGTTAAGCTGACCAATCTGTCTAATTAGTGCCCTGTCCTCAGTAAATGTAATGTTTCGTTAAGGCATTTTTAAATTTTGAACTTAGTTGTCTGCTAAGGTCACCTGAAAGTCACAAAATAATTATTTTATTATTAAAGTATATTTTTTGTCTTTTTTTGGATGCATCTTTCATGCTAAAGAAACACAAAAGCACAGTTTAATGACAGTGAATTGTATTTGGAATGAATAAAAGTGAACTTAAATTAGAATGTGAGTCAGACAGACACAAAAGTTCTTGAACTAGAACTATAATGCAGCAGCTCTTGTTGAAGTAAAGAAAGAATGGATGAAGTAATGTTTGATTGAGCGAATAACAAAAAAATGGTTTGCTGAGGTTAATTGAGAAAGCATTCAGAGAACACTTTCAGACTGAATGTATATATGGATCAAACAAAAATCAATAATAATAATGTGCAGGAAGAGCAAGTAAGGACTACAAAGAAAAAACTTAATAATGTAAGAAAGCCCAATGTAAATCTGGCTTGGGGTTTTAGACATGATGGTGGACTTCATATGTGTTCTGTTTAAGTGTTGGCTGGTCAAACATATATTAAACTTTACTGTGTCACTTTCTGTTTGCATAGACACGGCCCGCAACCCAGAGTTTATGGAGATGCACAGTGGCACAACCGACCCTCCCCTCTGCCTCATGATTGGCTACACTGACGGGATGCAGATCTGGAGCGTATCTGTAAGTCTCACAACAACAAGGCTTTAAGGGCTGGTACTGTGCTTTCTCATCCACGAGTATAAAATGGTCCACTAGGGTCCATGCCAGGTTTCTCATTGGATGTTGGTCCAAAAAAGCATTTAAAGAGCTCATCAGCAAGGATTTTATGTAGAAACAAGAACTTTTTTCATTCAATACTTATGTTTGAAATACTGCTCTGACATAAAGATGAAATGGCTTCTTGTTTGTGTTTCTGGTTGCGTAGCGACAGTGTGTTTGTCTGGCTTGAGAAACCCTAAACACATGCATGGTAAAAGTAGCGTCATTTGTCCTCGAAGAATGACGATGTGAATATCTGAAGGTTTTTCTTTAACTATGAAGAATTGAATTACGATGTCTGTAACAGTGGGCGCCCCACGACTACTGACCAGATAAAAAGTAGTTCTCAAACGTAAAATTAAATTTGAATTAATTATAGTAAAATAAGGGCTGCAGGGTGGGGCAGTTGATAGCACTGTTGCCTCGCAGCAAGAAGGTTGCCAGTTTGCGTCCCGGTGGGGGCAATGGAATCTTTCTGCGTGGAGTTTGCATGTTCTCCCTGTGCAGCGTGGGTTCTCTCCGGGTTCTCCGGCTTCCTCCCACACAGTCCAAAAACATGTTGAGGTTAATTGGTGATTCTAAATTGTCCGTAGGTGTGAATGTGAGTGTGCTTGGTTGTCTGTCTCTAAGTGTAGCCCTGTGATAGACTGGTGACCTGTCCAGGGTGTCCCCTGCCTTCACCCTAAGTCGGCTGAGATAGGCTCCAGCCTCCCCGCGACCCTTGTGAGGATTAAGCGGTGTATAGATAATGGATGGATGGATGGATGGATGGATGCGGTGCGCCAGCCACATGAATACGCATGTCACTCAAAAAACTTTTCGTGGTCATGTGACCTCAGCCCGGGCTCTGATTGGCAGCTGCAGACTTTCTCACAGTGCGCAGCTCGGTCCATCCCAGACCCGTCCACGTTTGCTGTAAGCCAGCTAATTTTGTCTTTATTTGCTTTTGTCTTCTGTGGTTGGATATCAAAACTGTCCTTCGACGTTCTTACGACTGCGCTTTCTGGCACGTCACACAGCCTTTCCCCTCCTCTGCTACTAGATCACAGCTACTGACTGATGGCTTAATGCATCGGCCTGCTGTCAATGGAGAAAAGAATGCTCATAGAAAAAACCACGTGTAGAATACATGTAACTGGGTTTCACCTCAGACAAATCTGACATGAGGACACCCTAGTTTATTATTTTTAAAGTCATTTTTGGTCACACACCTGTCAGAGCACACCACAGCCACCAAGCAGCAGCTACCACATCCTGCTATGTGGGGCGTTTAGGGAACATCAGTAAATCGAAGCTCTATCGATAAGAAAATGTTCAGAAAGTCATATGTTTTGCCGTTGACCAGGTGGGAGGTGCAACAAAATGAGAAAGTGGGTCGTACTGGTGCTACCAGTGAAAACGTTAGTCTGGAGCCCTGAATAGTGTTTTGTTCATTATTTATGTTGTGTGTTTTGAGTTTGTACAGATCCTGTAAATATTGATGAAAGTTTGATGCATGGTTTTGTAGCTTAGTTCTGGTAAGTCTTGATAATGTTAAATTAGGTTATGTTTAGAATATCCTCCAGAGGTAGACAATTTGCATTCCTGTAAATAGTTGTGCCTGATGTTACTCATATTCTCATGTCGGAACCCAACATGATGACGATGCCAAAAATCACATAAATATGTTTTTAGGTTTGGCTCTGATTAGCTGTCAAATCTGTTTGCACTGCTGGTACTGCAGCTGATAGAACACAGATTAGAAAATTTATTATTCCATCTGTATTTATTACAGAGAATGTTCAATCAACAACATTCATTTTGCTTTGATTTGGCCAAAAATGAAAGTGATATCCTGCATTATGGGACAGCGTCAGACCTAAATGCACTTCAATACAATATCATGTTTAAATGTATGAAGTTTAAAGTTTAACAGCTTTAATTTGCAGCTGTCAGTTGGAAATAAGTGGCTGCATCGATTAGTAAAATAAATATATTATGCACGTTTAACAGTTTTCTCCCAGCATTTCTGTCTGGCATCATTTGCAGTGGCAGCGCTTTTTACCGTCATAAATTTTTATATTCCCCATCATTCTCCATTCAAACAACCTGTTGATTAAAGCAGCTGCAGACGATCGTTTCATTCTGCACAGAAGGAGAGTCATATGACGCATTAAATGCACTCTTTTATGTGAACGCGCAGGGAGTTTGAAGCAGAAAGCCTGAGCTGACAAAGAAAGTTGATACCTGTGATCTCTGACTGGGACTTTAGTTTTTGTCAAGCCGACTTACACAAAGAAAGCCCGGCTATGTCAAACCAGCTTCGTAATATAGCCCTCTCGTGTCTACAGCAATCTGTCGCTGTCTGTGTGTGATTATTAAAAGCGCCTAAAACTGCAACTCCATCTATTTCTTCCTGGCCCTTTTGTGCCATAATATGTTGTGTTATTGGATAACTATGTGTGATAAAACCAGTATAATATCAGAAACATCAGCAGTTGGCTCACTGTAGAGCAATCATTTCTTGGTAGATCTTCAGGAAGTCGACATTAAAAACAAGCAGAACATCTCTTTTTAACAAGTCTTGACAATGATTATACCCAGACTTTCATATTTTACAAAAAGATTTTATGTTTAAATGGAATACTGTGTGTAAGTTGCAGATAACTTGCATCTGTAAACTATGTTAAAATAGACGTGTTTGTGAGAAACACCAACTTCAGGTGCAGAACAAGCCTTTGTTTACTGTTGATGCTCAGTCTTTAGAATTGATTATGTGACTGAACAGTGTAAACAATATGTCCTTCCTGGGTTCAAAAGTCAATCTCTTGTCAAATCAATTGCTGACCTTGCACTTGCTCAGGCTAGCTTATGAACTGAGCAGCTAAAACACAACTCAAGAACTTGTGCCAAGAAAGACAACACAACACTTACTATATACATTTCTAATCAAAGTTTCAGATTAATACACACCCACTACATTTTATTAATTTTTCTTCAATCAACCATCAGTGCATGCTAATGTGATTTTTATGGCGGCTGTCTTTGAGAGACCTTTTTTTGTCTATTAGACAGCACTAATGGATATAATGATGATCGAGGAACTGGACAAAATGTCTAAGAAATGCCTAATTTGTGTAGCACCCTTCTCAAAATGCATTAGCACAAATGAGACAGTCAGATAATTTCAAACACCCACAAGAAATAAAAATGAAATATTTAAGCTACTGAGGTAGATTAAAACAAGCGATTTATATAAAGATATTAACAGACAAAATTGTTTAATTAAACTTTCCAAAATACAGCTGTAAAGCAAAACATGAACGCTGAAATGTGCTGACATGGAGTCCTTAGAACCGACCCTGATGTTCTGATACGGAACAGTTATCTGTCTCGCCTGTTCTTTGTTGAGCAGTACTGCTCTTTGTCCATTAGGTGGCAGCAATGACCATGTTATTGGTGATATTTGGCGCAAACAGTTGCATTTCGCTTCCTCTCAGGTTTATGCATTATTGAGTATATTTCTGAAAAAAGGGTGATGAGACAGCAAGATAGAGGAATAAAAATACACATGAACAGTGATTGACATTTAATACAGTACAGCCAATCAGTAAGTTGCTTTGGAAATCTGGATGAATGTAAAAGATAAAAAGTTAGTACAAACACAGTTTTAACACCAAAATGTACCAGAATGCGCCTTTAGTCTATTCTTTTGGCTTTGGTGTTCATCAGGGTTAGAATGGCCTTTTTAGTGTGTAGTGGTTTTTAACTTGTCGTTAACAGTCGGTGTGAATCTGTCCAGTACCAGCAGGTGTGCTGAATGGCTGCTGCTGAAATCAACATTAAATCTGCATCACGGGCCCCCCTATAGCTCACCTGGTAGAGCGGGTGGCCCATGAACCGGGGCTATAGTTCCCCGATGCAGCGGTCGTGAGTTCGAATCCCGCTCACGACCCTTTGCTGCAGGTCTGTCCCCATTCTTCTCCCCCCTTTCCTGTCTCCCTCTACTGCACTAAATAAAGGCAAAGGCCAAAAAAATATATTTAAAAAAAAAAAATCTGCATCACGCCACTAAACATATACTCACATATTCACTACGTATATGTGGACTGTGTAAACTTGTGTCTCTTAGCAACTCCTATGCACATACAAACAAACTTCTTTACTCACATGAATGTGCATTAATGTAAACTGTTTGGATAATTCCAAACAATTCCATCCAGTAACAGTCATAATAAAACAGTATTTATTATTACTTATCGTAAGCATTAAACATGGATTAAGCAGCCTATTTAACAAATTAAACACAATTTATATTATACTACACACTGCATTTCATACTTTAAGTTCCAACTTTTACTGCTGATGTAATGTCAAATGTAACCACAAGATGGAAACCTTTTGATAAACTGGGTTATGATAAGGGGGTGATTTGGGTCAACATGACCTTTGCTATTTACAGGTCAAATGTGTACCACTGAGGCTGAAACATGTACATATATATACATTAAAATAAGGTTCAAGGTGTAGGGCAGTTACTGCAGAACAGAAGTCTTATTTTTGGTGGTTAATTTTTGCAAGCTGCATGTTGAAATGATTCTTTTCTGTAGACAATGTTCTCATGACTGGGCCAATGTCATACATCAAAAACCTTATCAAGCAGAATGGGCATGCTATTGAGTGTAGAAAACTGACTTCTTTAAATCAGCATTGGAAAATCATTAGAAGATTTTGTCAGCTCCGTAACTTTACAAATTATCCACAACGCTGTGAAGGCTTCGCTCACTGAGTATCGCCTTTCATGTAGAGGCTGTCACTAAAACATGCAAACTTCACATACATCCTGTGAGATCTAAACACACCAAAGTCCTTAATCAGTCTCTTTATAAACATCCACAGGCCGCGGCTAGAAGGACACTCTTTTACTTTACCCATGATCACAC